TATTGGTGTCGATCCTGATAAGGAACGAATTCGAGTGGCTAAGGAGTCTCACAGTCAAATCGAGAATCTGTCATTTACAGAGGGGAGCGCTCCAAGCTTTTTCAGAATGGATTCAAATTTATACGACATTGTTTTCTGCAATTCTGCTCTCCACTGGATGCCTGAAAAACAGCAAGTCTTCAACGGTATGTTTTCAAGTCTGAAAGCTGGAGGGAAAATAGCAATTAGCTACGTGGACCGTTTGCCTCCGTTTGAGTTCAACGCTTACATGCTGCTTAATCCAGAGAATGAAGAACGTATCCGTAAAGAGATGTTCCAATGTGAGACCAAAACCAAGATCGAACATTATTGTTTATCATCCGGGTTTCAAATTATCAAGCATTACGATTCTTGCAACCCATTTGCTTTTGAATCCATCCAGAGTCTTCTGGAATGGCACTGGTCAACTACACACGGCGTATTTGATCTTTCGCTTGTCACTGAAGAGCGTTTACAGAAATATCTCGCTCCATACGTTGGCGAAAATGGGAAACCTTGCCTGGATTTCCGAGGAATAAAAGAGGAATCCCCTGTGTACAGGTTGATAGCCGTCAAGGAAGCTGCAAACGCCCGTTTGGAGTAGAAATATCAGCATATATATATAGTAGCGTTTCTTTGAAGTTCTGTTAGATTTAGTTTAAACGCAAGCCTTACAGTTACGATATCGTAGACAATCAAGTTCATACAACTTTGCACGTATGAATATTCACGTTGGGTTCCATTTTATGCACTGTGGCCATCCAGTAGGGTGCATCCCGGGCACATACGAGGGTACAGGGAGGGATTTGTCGACCTTTTTTTACCATTTTTTCTTTTGGCATGGGGTTATTTGATTGTTTTCCACTGTAGTAGCAGGATCCTTTCGGAAAGATCAGCGCGATTTGTTGTATGTATTCTTGTCATAAATTTTGTCTGTTTTCAGTTTCTTATATAAAGTAACGATATCACTGTACTTTGTTGCCTTTACTTTACTATAAGCATGTAATCCAATTGCAAAATGAAAACGATGTTGGAGAAAATATTCATTCATTCTTAGCAGGAGCCGATTACTCGGTTCCTGCACCGTAATTTTTAGGGAGTTATTATAACTCGAAAAATGGAGTAAAAATTTTAGCTACAGGATAACCCCTTTTTGGGGGTTATTTTACTCCTAATTTAACTCCAAATTTGGGGTCATTTTTACTCCTGAAAAAGAGTTCTTTTTACTCCCAGTCTGGAGTTAAAAGAGCTCCGAAATGGGGTTACTTTTACTCCTTACATGGGTTGTTTTTACTCTTTTTGGAGTTAATTTAACTCTGAAAGAGGAGAAAAAATTTTAGGTACAGGATAACTCCTTTTTTGGGGTTATTTTAACTCCTCAATATCTTTAAGCTCCTTTTTGGAGTTAAAATAACTCCCCAAAAAATAACTCCACTGTAAGGAGTTAAATTAGCCCCACTAGAAGAGTTATTATAACTCCTTGAAAATAACTGTGTGCTCTTAGTTATTGAATAATTAGGACACTACCTAAACATTGTCCTCTCCCATTTGACTCCTTACAAACTTCATCACGTGCAATGGACAAATGGGCTTTATTTACTAATATATTCTGTCAAACCTCTAAAAAAGAAGTACTATTATTATTATTATTATTATTATTATTGTATCAGTAATATTATCATTACCATTATCTAATTATCATTATTATCGCCTGCATAACTGCAGAACTCTACGCGCGGCGCCTCATAGCTAAGGAAATGTGGTAATCTACCTATCCGAGAAAATTTGGTAATCACGTGACCGTACATCGACCGACCGCCCGACCGACCGACCGACCGTCCGTCCCCACCACAGGAATACCAATGTAAAATAACTCAATCAACAGGTACAGCAACCCAAATGCAACTCGAGGTTTTATTTGGAAGGAAATCACATGGCCGCCTGGACTTTTAGAAAGAAAAAAAACAACAAAAGACTCGTGTCTTTTTCGGCGTTATTTTTTATGTTTACACTAACGTGGATAACTGCAGAGAAAGAGCTAGAGCGAGTTATTGAAAACAAAGGAGACGAATTTCGTAGGAAGAAAAACATGGAAATTCAAAGCGGCGGTGAGAAAATGAGAAATGCTAGCGGCCAGCAAGGTGAAAATGAGCGGCAGTGAAAAATAAAAGCGAACATGAACACAGGAAACAAAATATTGGGTAAGCACATACGACAATTCCTCCATAAAAAATAATGTGTAACTAGGAAGTTTGACGTTTTAGTCGTACAAAACAGCGTTGCAGTCGTGCAAAACAACGGCAAGGGAAAGACAAAAAGGCGAACTGCTCGTGCAAATTTGTTTTTTGCTAATTAGAAGAAAAAGTGTGCTGCACGTTCAATTAGTCTTGAAGCCATTTTCATTGTCGTCCCCGTTTAGCATTACACGATTTAATGTTTTTTTATATTAGGCTTTATTTGGAACGCTCAGGTGGGTTTGGATGACCTTCAAGGCGAGGGAAAAGAATAAAGACCGATTTATGTCTTAGTGAGACAATCATGAGAATTATGTGTATGTTGCGTGACATGCAGTATAACACAAGCCAAGTTTACTTCCGTTCACGTGCAATCTGCAGGCTTTAGCCAATCAGGGTGGTTTTTCATTTCAGTTAATCAAGTCCTAGCCTTTGCTCGAGCAGGCAAAGATTATCTGCTTTGCTTCATTCCAGTACAATTATATTTTATTCCTTTACAGGGAAATCTCTATCTTGCTTCTCGTGACGTAGGGAAAAAGCTGTATCTCGCTTCTCGCGACGGTACAAGTCATTATGGTCATGCCGCCACGAGCTCAAGGCAGGTCGACCCGCCGAAGTTCGCCGCCATTCATCGATCAAACCGTGCTGGGAGTTCTCTCGCTCGCGGACCTTCGTTCTCTCTGCATACAACACGGTCTGCCGTCGACTGGGGTTTGGAAAACGCCGGCTTCGAGAGCAAAACATCAACCGCAGTGAACCAGCAGCCCCAAAGAGCCAACACATCAACGGCGACACAGCTGCTCCGCGTGAAGATTTCAGCGCAGATGTTAACTATACGACAGCTGATCCAGGACACAGTGCAACAATCACGCAACAGTGCAACAATCAAGGCGGCCATGAACGCTTTTAAAGCCTAAGCAGGATCAAACGATCGCCTCCCGGCTCAACGGCCACCTTCGCTGATCGTGCCTGTGCGCCGCGGGAGTCAGCTTCGCCTCGCCTCGCCTCGCCTCGCCTTTCCAAGACATCCCGGCGCAGCACATCAAGGAAATACAGAGTGGCATAGGCGTACGGGCCGGGGGGGCGAGGGGGGCTGCAGCCCCCCCAAAGTTTGGGCAACTCAGATTTTTTGGGCAGCAGGAGAAAATTTGGGCAAAGCCAGTTTTTAAAGACGTTTCCATGTTTATTATTATTATTATTATTATTATTTTGAAGAGATAAATATTTTCTATTTTAACCAGAAGTCGGCGCAATAATTCAGTTACGTTCACACGAGACAGTGGTTGCCTAGCAATCATACGCTGATCTTTTGTTGTTGTTGTTGTTGAGCACTGTACTTCACTGTACTAGCTGGAGTGGGCTATTTCCAGTCGTGAATTGATTAGAATAAACTTCCGCATAACTTTCTAGAATCACCTCCGCTCCTAGAACAGTGTGTGGCAGAACACGCATCAGCAATGGGTCTGAAAGTGAAGTGGCTGACTAAATCTCAGTTTGAATTACGAGAAGAATCATAATTTTTTAAAAAAAACTCTATCGAGCGGTTTAAAAATTATTCACTAATTTGTTTAAGTAGACCGAAATGTTTACAAAACCCCTAACAAGATCGAGCGCTAATCAAATCCTTCCTTATAGAAATTGGTAGGAGCTATCTCCATGATCTTTCATACACGTTTTTAAAAAGATGGAAACTACTATGAGGTGAAATTGCATCTTAAAAGCGTTCCGTTTTCTTCAAATTACGACTAAACATCAAGATTTTCCTTTTTTACCTTATTTCTCACAATAAAAACTTCATCCCAAAATATCTCGGTAACGCTCTTACATTTCCGCTTTAACTTCACGAACATCGAGGCGACTATTGGAGGAAAGAGCTCGCCTGAACGATTTTTAAGAACAGTTCCCAGTGAGAAATATTGCTGCAAGTATAATAGGTAATGGCGTCATTTCGTTGCTATGACAGCTCCGATGTCATTACAATCCTGATCATGACAAATTTCCCTCTTTATCTAATACAACTGTGGTGGCATTTTTTTCCAAAAGCTTGTTTGTGGCGACGTAGTTTATGCTCAAACTTGGCAGGTATTGACTCTGAAAAACTGTCTCGAGCCACTTTCATATGCCAGTACGGCCTACTTTGTTGCATGGCTCTACTTTCCTTTCGACTGTTTTGTAAAAATTTGGGCAACTTGCAAGAATTTTTTGGGCAAATGGACTACCGCCCCCCCTGGCAAAAAATTGCCCGTACGCCTATGCAGAGTGGTGAGTTCTTTGATTTAACAAAGTTGCTACAAGCCTTGTCAAGACGTCTTGGGACAGGTGAGGAAATTAGACACAAGGACGTACTTTGCTAAATTAACTCATATTCTTATACCTCTTAAAAAAAGCTTGGGGATGTTGCTATAACGGGCTATTTCTGCTGTCCCCCTCTCCCCTCAAGCAATGTTGATTGAGTTGAATTAAAACTTGAAAACATAACGTCAACACTGCACCGAGGGGGAAAGGAAGATGCCTCAATTTGACGAGCTATTGCGTTAGTGGCCCAAGAGTTTTGACCAGGGTTGTACTTAAGAATCTGTCGCTGTACGACAAAGATGACAACTTAGTCATCGTTCGACAACTCTGTTGTTCAAGTCTTAAAGTTACACTCAATTTTGTGGTTCCAGAAAATATCCATACCAGCCCCACGGAAGGGATTTGCCGTATGACTCTTCCCCTCCCCTCCAGAATTTCCAAAATTTTTGCACACCCATTGGAAATATGGCTCTCTTATGGTAATAAACAAATAAGTAGTTTTGTTCACAAGGATGCCAAATTTTGGGAGTTTCATGAATTTTCTGGAACAGAGAAACACTTGAAGAAGTATAAAGAAAGAGATCAGGACCTCGTCTCATGACGAGACAGTTGGAGTAACGAAGTTCGTTCCACCAAATTTGCATATTTGAGTTTGGTAAAATTGCACGTCGTAGTGGGAGTGGTATGGATGTTTTCTGGAACCGCACATTATATGCAGTGATATTTTAGTCCCATGATTTTATAGTTTCCTCCATATTTGTTTTGTGTATTGCTAGTATGCCTTCATTCTCAGTTTCACTGGGATCAGTTTGTGTCCCCTGGTATTGTGTCTCTGGTTCTACGTACATGCCCCTCTTTCCTTAGTTAGCATACCCTAACAAGGAAGCTCTATAGTTGTTTCTGCTGGTGTGACCATACAGAGCGTGCCATGCCACCTTTTTGTCTCACATAAATGGCTTCTCTACTTATTATATTTCCCTCGTGGTATGACTATTTAGCTGTTATCTGCATGGCAATATTGGCACAACCATATTCCTGCTCGCACCCGTACAACTTGCATAATAATGTTTGCAGCTATAACTGTTGACTTCAATTCCAACAACTAGCACATCTAACTTTACTTCAAGGGCGTACACAAATTTGTACCCCGCAATTAGGTCCCAATCTATTTTTGGATGGGTTAAAAGTGCAAATACCAATGGAATACCACAACCAAGGAGCAGCTATCAAGAGAGATGTGGTCTGAATTATAGGGGGTTTAGTACCCCCATACTTCATATGCATATATAGTGCCAACCTAGTCCGATCCAGCATTGCTGGAAAGTTACCATATCATATATATTCAGTGCCCCTATTCTCTTCTTTCTGGGGTTTCCCTTCAGCTTTGGGGTGACACATTTAACTAAACAGACTATTTCTGGGTGGGGTAGTTTCATCTATGGGGAATACACTTTGAGCATACACTTTAGGTTCTGGCTTGTTCTGCAAAATACAACATTGCTTGGTTGCTCTTGTTGATGAACTCATACATCTCATGGTTCTCTTTCACGACTGATGAAAGCTTGTTCTAACTTTTTACATCAAATAAGCTCACATTTTTTCACTAAGAGTTAAGGTCTGTAATAAGAACAAACAAAACCTGATGATAATAGTTATTAATGTCATTTCTGATTTCATCAAATAAGCCTATCTTTCAAATCCCGGAAAACTTATAACTTAAACTTAAACTTAAGCTTATTGAAAATTAAGCAAACTTAACAAATTATAATGTTAAGGAGCACATGTTGTAGTTTAGACTTATCATCTCTTTCACTGCCTTCAAGAAATTCTCGGTGTTTTCAACAGTTGTATTGGCAATAAGAGCTCCAAAATTACCATGCAAGTGGCGGTCGAACATCACAATAATTTATTGCTCCATGTGCAACAAAGCAAATTGTCATATCGGTGATAATAAGAATTGCAGATAGATTAGCTTCTTGAGTTAAACGTTGAAGGTAAAATTGCTTTTTCCCCAGTTTAAGTGTCATGTATGGAATTTCCCTGAATGATGCAGGACATCACAACAGAAGCCCACAGAGGTGAAATTTGTGTTGGGTGTGGTAGGTGTCCTATGTTGGCATGATAACTTTTTGCCAAGTACAATGCAATGAAAGTCCAGGCGTTTGACCCCCTCCTGCCATTCTTTGTAGCCTGCGAAACAGACTGTGGAAGAACAGGAATTTGCTGCCTGCACTGTTCACTGATGTTATCAGTTGATGTTTTGATTTACTTGTTGTGCTTGATGATTGACCCCTTGGTCTTGGCAGTGCGGCTGCTGTGGATGTTGCTGTTGACATTCTTGTTGTTGTCCTTGTGTTCTTAATCTTGAAGGTTGATGTGGGACAGTGACATAAGAACGAAAGCATGATCTACAAACAGTGTTCCCATTCATAGGATTCATAGAAAATAGGTTGTCTTGAATTGTTAGGAGTTAATTCTGTGTCAGGCTCTTCAGAGGTTAAGTTGGATGTTGGTAGTTGATGACGATCATTTAGTAGGCGATAGCAAACTGAGATTAAAAGCATCAGCCAGCATGGCTACTTTCTTTAACAGAGGCTTAGTACAGATTGGACAGTTAGAGTTATTTTGAAGGTAACGTTCTTGGTGAAAGGTGTGGCAGCAAGCTAGTCTTACAAATTGGTCAGTGTCTTGAGTTACAGCACAGTTGCTGTAGTCGCATAAAATGGCTGGATTTGGATACTGTTGGTTGCTATCGAGTCATTTGTATGAAAGAGGAAGTGACTTTGTATCAATAATTTCGTTGAATGTTTGAGGATGGAATTTTGGTCTTTTGTTTCGACTAGACTGGAAGGGTTGTCTGTAACCTGTGTAACAAAAACAATGTTTCTGTCAAACACAGAAGATAGTTGTGAGGAATATCAAGAATAAGACAGTAATAGCCAAGCTTTAATGA